CCAGACTAGCCTCGAACTCACAGAGATCTGCCTGCCTCTGCTTCCCGAGTGCTGGGATTAAAGGCGTGCACCACCAATGCCCAGCGAGTAGTCTGAATTTTAAAAAATTATTTTATTTGTTTTAGTTATGTGTAGGAACTAGAAACTTGGGTTCAGTTCTCAACATCCACATGGCAGCTCATAACCATTGTAATTCCAGGTCCAGGAGATCCAATGTCCTCTTCTGACTTCCACGGACATTGTATGTACACAGTGCACAGACATACATGCAGGCTAAACACCCATGCAAATAAAATAAAATAAATAGGACTGCAGAAATGGCTCAGTGGTTATGAACACTTGCTGCTCTTCCAGAGGACCCCAGTTCAATTCCCAGCACCAACATGGCAGCTCACAATTGTCTATAACTCTATTTCCAGGGTTTCCAACACAAGCCCCCCTGATGGGGAAGTCCTGTGTATATGTCAATAAAGCACTGTTGGCCAATAGGGAAGCAAGATAGGTGGGACTAGGAGTCTAGGAGGATGCAGGGAAATGTAGTGAACTGAGCCGTCACCATGTGATTCCCAGGAGGAGGGGATGTAAGTCTGCATTCTGGGGAAAGATAAGTCCTTATAAACATATATATTAGTAATTATGGGTCAATAATTAAGTCAGAGCTAGACAATGAAAAACAATAACAGCCGGGCGGTGGTGGCGCACGCCTTTAATCCCAGCACTCGGGAGGCAGAGGCAGGTGGATCTCTGTGAGTTCGAGGCCGGGCTGGACCGATAGCCTCCAGAACAATACAGAGAAACCCTGTCTCGTAAAAACCAAAACAAAAAAACAAAAAAAACAATAACAAATGGCCAACAGCTTCATAATTAATATAATGTCCTGTGTGTTATTTGGGAGTTCAGACAGCTCTGCAGGGGCCAGGCATTTGGCGGGGAAAACTACACGTCACACACCCCCACACACACATATGCAGGCAGAACACCAATGCACATACAATAAAAATAAATAAATCACAGGGCAGTGATAATGGCAGTTTTCTTTCCTGCCAGGTCCTGCCGCCCTTCTCAGCCCCAAATAAGCACACAGACGCTATATTAATTATTAAACTGTTGGTCAGTGCCTAGGGCTTCTTTCTGTCTAGCTCTGTCTTAATTATTAACCCATAACTACTAATCTATGTATTTCTACATGGCCTTATCTTGCCAGAGAATGCCTGGTGCATCCTATCCTCCCAGTCCCTCCATGGTGTCTCTCTTGTGGCTCTCATGCCTACCTTTCCCAGAATTTTCATCGTCTCCTAGTCCTGCCTATCTTCCTGCCTCTATAGGCCAAATGCTGTTTTATTCATCAACCAATAAGAGAAACACATATACAGAAGGATGTCCCTCATCAGGGCAATGGTAGTGCAAGTCTTCAATCCCAGCACTTGGAAAGCAGAGGCAAGCAGATCTCTGAGTTTGAAGTCAGCCTGGTCTACAGAGAGTTCCAGGACAGTCAGAGCTACACAGAGAAACCCTGTCTTGAAAAATAAAATAAAAAAGGAAAGGAGGGAGGGAATGAGGGAAGGAGAGAGAGTGGGGAAGAAAGAAGGAAAGAAAGGAAGGAATGAATACATACATACATACATACATACATACATACATATATACATATATACATACTGGGGCCAGTAAGAGGTGTTGGGTATTGGGAGAAACCCTTCAGGAATGCTTTTTCCATGGGAAGGAGTTAGTTTGTGGGACTACCACGGCACCCTGTCCTTTCTTGGGATCCTTGCCAGGAGCTGAGAGGATTCAGATACTATGTTTCCCATCTCCAGAATTCTGAGCTCAAACAAGCCTCTTTCCTGGAGCGAGACCTAAGTCTTTTCCAGGCGTTAGAATGTATCAAATGTTTGTACTCAGCATTGTCAACGCTGGCTGAGATTTATCTAGTAACCCGGGTTCATGTGATAGCTTGATTGTTGGCAATAGCTTCCTTCCTGTTAGTTCTAATTAATAATATTAATTCTCAGAATACTCTTGATCGTTTTCAGACTTCAAAGAGGAATTACTGAGGGATAAGCAGAGAGCTAATGCAGGCAGGGTAGCAAGCAGTTGAAGAATGTAGAGCCAGTTGAAGAATGCAGAGCTCAGCTACACAGTGCAGGACCCTCAAGGGGTCCAGAAGGATGGATGGGTGGATGGGAAGCTTTTCAAATGGGCCTCGTCAAGCAGGGGGATGGAGCCATGCAGAGCTGGAGTTTGGGGACCCAGAGATTTTCTGCCAGTTGGTCCTTTGATGCCTTTGCCATGGTAGTGTGCTTCTTTTTATAGGGTCTAGTAAAGGTATTGCACTTTTCCTTGGTCTGGGGTGTTTGGTAAATCCATCTGCCTGATTTTTTTTTCTCCTCACATGACTTTAATATAACTGTGGTCCCAAGTATTCCAACCTACATAGATAAGTTTTTATAGATGGTGCCAGTCAGTAACTTGTGGGGGTGCTGGTCAGGGAGTGGTGTTTATATGCACAAAGGAGATGCTGAGTCATCCTGTGTCTGCATTCACACTCCAAATAGAACTTCCCAGCCTGAAAGCCAGTCTCACACAACAGGGTAGTCGGAGTATGGCACCAGTATCCACAATTATCTAACCTTGGGTGTTCTGTTATAGCAACAAAAAACAGAGTAAAAAGGAGAAAAATGTCCTTCTTATCACCAGGTACAGAATGCTGAGGCCAAGGGAAATCTGCATGAACAACCTGAGCATGGTGATCCACACCTGTAATCACAACACTGGGTCGATGGAAGCAGGAGAACCTTAAGCCAAGTCCTGGTTACATAGAGCCAGCCTGGGATAGAGGAGAACCTATCTAAAAAACAAAAGCAAACTGACAACAGCAAACGGCAAAGGAGCTGGGGAGATGACTGAGTGGATAAGAGGATCTGAGTTTGAATCCCCAGTAACCATCTGAGTTTGAATCCCCAGTAACCATCTGAGTTTGAATCCCCAGTAACCGCAGTGCAGGGTGGGGAGGTGGGCAGAGACAGGGGCATGCCAGCTGTCATTCTAGCTTTAGTTTCGAACAGATTCTGTGTCAAGGGAACAAGGCAGAGAGAGGGAGAGCAGGATACTCACCTCCTCCTCCACTTGCCCCTACATGTGCATTCGAACACGCAAGCGCACACTGCCCTCACCACACACAGAGAAGCACACACGACACGCACTAAATAAGTGATAAAAATAATGAGACAGGCAAGGTTGGGGAAATGGCTCAGTGGACAGAATGCTACTGCACGAGCCTGAGGCCCTGATTCCTGATCCCCAGCACCTACATAAAAGGTGGGGTGCAGGAGCATGCACTGAGAACCCCAGCTCTGTGAGAACAGAGACAGGCAAACCTTGGGTTTTGCTACCTGATCGATCACTCTAGATGAAAAGGTAGACTCCAGGTTCTATGAGAGACCCTGTCTCAAAAAACTAAGGTAGAGAAGAAAATTCTTCCCTATGATTCTCCATGGTTAAACAGTAAACAGACCAACCCATAGGTATTCAACATTTACTGAATGAGAGTCTTCATTCCCTTATGAAAACCTCTTGAGCTGTGTAAAACTTTTTTTTTTTTTTTTTTTTTTTTTTGGAGACTGGGTTTCTCTGTGTAACAGCTCTGGCTGTCCTGGAACTGACTTTGTAGATCAGGCTGGCCTTGAACTCACAGAGATCTGCCTGCCTCTGCCTCTTGAGTGCTGGGATTAAAGGCATGTAGAACCTCTACCTGTCGTAAAACTCTTATTAACTAAAGTAAAATTGAATGATTTTCAGTTGGTTTAAAAAAAATTCCCCAGTACCATTTTTCTTTTTCTTTTCTTTTTAATGTGTGTTTGAGTGTATATGGGTGTAGGAGTTACAAGTGACCGAACTGTCTGACATGGGCACTGGGAGTCAAACTCTGTTCCTCTGCAAGAGGAATATGTCCTCCTAACCATTTAGCCATCTCTGAAGGCACACACACCCCTGTTTGTAGCCCAGGCTGGCCTTGAACTCAAGGTAATCTTGCCTCCAAGTTGTGATTACAAGCATGAGCTGCGACATCTGGCTCTGTTCCTTCTCACTGTGATTCTCAGGCCTAGTCAAATCTGGGCTGTGGTGGTGCACACTTGGGAGGTAGAGACAGGCAGATCTCTGTGAGTTCAAGGCCAACCTGGTCTACAGAGCTACACAGAGAAACCCTGACTCAAAAACAAACAAACAAGCAATAGAAAAACAACAACAAACCACCAAAAGGCTAGATGTGTTTAAAGATTTTACCTTTTCCTTGGTATCTTACTCTGAGAACTCTTGCTAACACACATTGGCTTGTATGTGTAGTGTACAACAAAACCCAAAAATCACCAGCAAGCCAAGCAGAGCTCCTCTGTACAGTTTGTGACCCCACCAGGCCAGTCTGGGGTCACAGTGCTTCAGCTGTCCTAGGCCAGGGAACTGACTCTGGCTTGTGTCGAGGTGTTCTGTTGTGTCCCTGGGACTGATTGGCAAATCAACATGAACCCCTCCTCACTCGGTGTTAGATTATTCCTATTTCTTTTTTTCTTGTTTGGTTCTTCAAGACAGGGTTTCTCTGTGTAGTAGCTCTGGGGGGTTTCTCTGTGTAGTAGCTCTCTGTATAGTAGCTCTAGGTGTCCTGGAACTCGTTCCATAGACCAGGCTAGACTTGAACTCACATAGATTCACCTGCCTCTGCCTCCCAAATGCTGGGATTAAAGGTGTGCACCGCCACTGCCCAGCCCCATCTCTTATTTCTTTTCTCCCCTCTCCCTGTTTCAAAAAGTCAGCAAACATTAAGCAGGATTATACCCTGGTCCCATCCTTATGTGCAAGCTTTCTGGTCCTCTGCCATTACCCAGCCTGACTGTGGGGGTCCCAGAACCCCTTGTCCAGGAAACAGTACCTTCAGTATCTCTTTTGTCTTAAAAACTTTATTAGCCAAAGAAAAGGGGACAGACAGCTCCTGTCTCTTCTGTCCATTACTGTTTGCCGTTGCCATTGATGGGACGATTCACATGGTCAGGAGAGGACAGGAAGGCCTTGATCTTGGGCCGGGCACTAAGTCGTGCCACGTAAGCAGAGAGCAGGGGGAAGTTGTCTAGGCAGCCAGGGGCCAGGACCTGGTGGATCAGCAGCAGATCAAGCAAGTTGTAATCGGCAAAGGAGATCTGCAAGAGTAGAAGGTTCAGGAATCAACAGGTGGGAGCAGGCTGGGAAGCAGAGAGCTGGGGCTCCTCTACCTCCCGTAGCTCTGTTCCATTTTACAAATGGCTCCTACTTGTCTTTATAAGGCAACACAGGAGTGCTCACCTGGTCACCCACGATGAAGGCTTTGCCCCCTTGGTTCTGGGACAGCAGGGTCTCAAAGGGCTTCAGGTGTCCAGGCAGGGCCTTCACGTAGTCATCCTTGCCTTCCTCCTGCCAGGGAGACACCCAAAGCTGTACCACCCTCCCGCGCTCACAGTGCAGTGGGCACTGGAATCCTGCTGCCCTGTAAAGAATTCTACCCTTTGTAGACACACCCCACCCCAAGGACACACCCCTAGCATTCACTACCACTTGGGCTGCCTGGAAACAGAAGCCCTAGCCACGCCTCTGCCTGCTCCCCACACCCAGGCTATGGCCTGGTCTCATTCACTTCATGCCATTCCTGCTAAGATCTCCCTCAATATCCTAGGCTGCCCTAAACAATTCCCATTGTAGTGAAGGCTTGGCCTTGAACTTGGAGTAGTCCTCCTGCCTCAGCCTTCCCAATGACTGATTGCAGGGGTGTGCTACCGCCCCCAGTTAAGATCTGTCATCTTTATTATTGCAGCACCTCTGAGGGCTATTCCGTGCTTCACATTTACACGCAGCCATGAACAGAGTCTTCAACAGCCCCAAGATCCAATCCAGCTGGTTCAAAGGCTTTAGGACCTGGCCTGCTGCCTTCAGCTCTGTCTCCTCATGTTCTGCCCGGATGCACACACCCACACGCTTGTGGGCTTCCTATCTGCTACCACCAGCCCCTCGCTCCTGAAGCTGTCCACTGGTTCTCCTCACACTGCACCAGCCTGGCTCTGGAGCTCTGACACAGGGAGGGAAAGGGCGGAATCAAAGTGCACCAAGCCCCCTTGCTTACACCCCCCCACTTACATATTTGGTGTAGATGAGGGTGACGTATTTGCAGCGAAGGTCTTCCACCCCATCATTCGCCATATCCACCAGGGCAGCCTCCTTCTGGTCTTTCCCATAAAGCCCTGCAGGTTGGGAGAGACAGCATGACTGATATCTATCTCATTGCCCCTTCCCCCAGGCATAAGGCTGTCTGCAGGTACCAGGCTGGGAGGGAGGGGGATATGGGCAGTCACGTGAGCCCGGAGCTCATGAGAGAATAGGAAGTGATGGCAGGCAGCCCACAGCTGCAGCCTGACCAAACATAATCTCTTGTGTGTCCCTGCTGTGCTGTCTAAACTGAATAAAATTGGAGTGGCTGGGAGGCAGACACCCTGAAATGGTGACTGATGCTCTCCTCACCACCACCCTGCCCACCAGCTGGACCACCTGACGTTCAGGACTTACCCAAGGATCGGCCCAGGTGCCTCAAGATGGCATTAGATTGGTACAGGATGAGGTCTCCATCCTCAAATTTGGGGAGCTGCCCATATAACTAGGGGAGGAGGCAAAGCTTGGTGAGGCTGCGGTCTCCCAGTTCCAGCCCTCCTAAAGCCCCGCCTCTGACCCCCCAACAGATGCGTCACTCACACAGGTGGACTTGAGCGAGCCTTTCACCCAGGAATCTCCGGTAACCACTTCCTCCTTCCAGCTCTGGCCCTGGTCAGCCAGCAGCAGGCGCATGGCCTCACAGCGTCCTGTATGGAGGGACAGGGCAGGGGTTTGGAGACAGTGTATAGACCTAGCCTCAAGCAAGCTGGGCCTGGGCATAGTGACGGAGGCACAGCGTTGCAACCAGGAGAAGGGTCAAAGATGAACTGGAGTTTCCCCACGGTGGAAGGGAAGGGAGAACTGAAGCCCCTACCCGAGACCTCCCCTTCCTGCAGTCCCTGGCTCCTACCTCGAACTGGGAAGTAGACAATGGTGTACGGCGGCACTGGGGATCACAGGAGAAGGGTGTTAGTTGGGAGAAGGGGGCTGACTCGGGTTCAGAGTGGTGCACCCTCCTGCCCCATCTCCCGGGTTCCCTCCCTGCTCTGGGCCTCCAAGACCTCCTGAAAGTTCCCCCAACCCCCACCCCCGCCCAGCTCTGGGTGCAAACTGTTCCGTGCAGGAAGCTCTGAATCCCGAAAGAGCCCAGGCCTGGGCCAGCTGCTTTGTTGGTAATCTGCGGTAGCCGGGCAGCGCGAACTCACTGGCTGCTGCGTAGACAAAGGCACGGACACCGAGCTGCGTAGACAGGAAAGAATCTTGGGTGCAGAATCGAGAACAGGCTTCAGGGCCGCCCGCCTTATAAGGGGCATCGCGCCCCGCCCCGGATGCTGAGTCAACACGGTGGAGGGAAAAGGGGGGTTGCGGAGCTCTGCAACTCGCGCCTCCTGCCGGGGACACTCAGGAGCTGGACCAAATGCTGCGTTCATTTTTGGGTCAAAGGTAGGTCCTGCTTGAGAAGGGTGTGTCCAGCTCCCTTCCTTTTGTACTGAGCTGGGCAGCTTTTTGCAGCATGTGCACCTCTGTCCCCCTTCTGCCTGTCCCCATCCATCAAACTTCCCGCAGATCCCACTAGTGACTGACCTAACTCACCAACCTCTTCTTTCTCCTGCCCCCAAAACTTCGTTTAACCATTTGACCTTCGCTAGAAGTAGCCAGAAAACTGTAATCCTGGATCCTCCATGCCAGGAATGTGAGGAACTTCAAAAAGAGAAGAAAAATGAAGCAAAGAGACAAAGTTGCAGGCTTTTTAAAATTGTTTTTTATTTAAATTAGAAACAATCTTGCTTCACATGTCAATCTCAGCTCACTCTCCCTCCCCTCCTCCCCCGCCTCCCCCAGCCTCCCACCCAATCCCCAGTCATTCCTCAGGGAGGGTAAGGCCCTCCATGGGGGATCTCCAGAGTCTGTCTTTTGGTTCAGGGCAGGGCCTAGACCTTTCCTCAAGAGTCCAGGCTGAGACAGCCTCTGTCATTGTGGGATGGACAAAGTTGCAGTTTTATATCCAAAACCTTCACAGTAGCTTCCTCTACTTTCTGCACTCGTTCTTCAGCCCTTCAAAAACAACGGCTTGGAGCTGGTGAGATGACTTTAGAGTTCAGGGCCCTCTCAGCTCTTGCAGAGGACCCAAGTTCACCTCCAGAACCCACATGAGGCAGCTCACAACTGTCTGGAAGTCCAGGAACAGAGGATCTGCTGCCTCTGACTTCCTCGGGTGATTCACTTATGTGCACAAACATAGGGACACGTGATTTTAAAAAATAAATCTTAGGGGGCTGGACAGATGGCTCAGCGGTTAAGAGCACTGACTGTTCTTCCAAAGTCCTGAGTTCAATTCCCAGCAACCACATGGTGGCTGACAACCACCTTGAACGAGCTCTGATGCCCTCTGCTGGCATGCAGATAGAAGATTATATACATAATAAATAAAATATTTAAAAAAATAAATCTTAAAAAAATAAACATCTGTCCCCGAAGCTACCACACAACTTCACTGTTAAACACATCCAAGTGTGTGAGAGGAGAGGGAGAGAGAGAGAGAGAGAGAGAGAGAGAGAGAGAGAGAGACAGAGAGAGACAGAGAGAGAGACAGAGAGAGAGAGACAGAGACAGAGAGACAGAGACAGAGAGAGAGACAGAGAGAGAGAGACAGAGAGACAGAGAGAGAGAGAGAGAGAGAGAGAGAGAGAGAGAGAGAGAGAGAGAGAGAGAGAGAGAGAGACATCCTTCCTTCAGCTAGCTGCAGCACAGACACCTTCCTCTGGCTTTAAGAGGCAACCATGGGCCGGGCGGTGGTGGTGCACGCCTTTAATCCCAGCACTCGGGAGGCAGAGGCAGGCGGATCTCTGTGAGTTCGAGGCCGGGCTGGACCGACAGCCTCCAAAACAATACAGAGAAACCCTGTCTCGTAAAATAAAACAAACAAACAAACAAACAAAGAGGCAACCATGCCTCCTGCCTGTCCTCAGGCTGGGGGCTGCTGCTGTTTTCAAGCTCCTTCCTCCCCAGCTTCTTTCTCCTCTGTGACGTCTCCCTGTGTAAATTGGGGCTTGGACTATTGAAGCTGCTGGGGTGGCTCTATCTGTGTCTCACTCTCCTCCCCAACCCTACCTGCCACTGTCCTAGCTGGTGTCCCTGTCCCCTCCTCATTTCTTCCACTCTGGTGACTTATAGGAGCCCAAGTCAGCGTCTCATTTTGGTCTGAGGTGTGCAGAAACATTTTCCACCCCTGACTCTGTCCCTGTGCCCTGTGGACCATATAATATGGGCCAGTCTCTCCCTCTTCCCACAGCACAGCCAAGCCCGGCTTTTCTGCCCCTTCAGTAGAGCTCAGGCTCATGTATGGGGGCCGAGGTTTCCTGGATCCCTGCTCCATACTGGACCTAGATCTGAGCCCTTCTGTCCTTGCATGTGTTCATCTACTCCACTCTCACTTCCTAGCTGTGTCTGGGATGCCCCCTGGGTGGCATCCAAGGGACGTGCACCCTTGATTTGCATAAGTAGAACCAGGTGGCCCTCAGGAAGAGCTGTATGTGCCACTCCAAACCTCATTTCATTCCGAGCTCCCTCAGGCCCCACTTTTCATTGCTGAGGATTTAGGACCTTCCTGTGTTCTTTGGGTTTTTTTGGTGGAAATTGCGTTTTTCCTAACCTTGGCTTTGTTCCTTGAAGTTGCTGCTCTCTGTTCATAAGCATGCTGTCTTCTTTAACTCTACATGTTAATCTCTTAGAGACTTTTTACCTTTACATTCATTTACCTATCTAACAAAGCTCAAGAAGCCCTGACAGGCCTTGAACTCACTATATGGCCAAGGATGACTTTCAACTCCGGATCCTCCTGTCTCTACCTTCTGAGCAATGGGATCACAGGCTTGTGTTACCTCACAAGGTTTTCAGAGCACTGGAGCTCAAACCCAGGGCCCCATTCATGCTGAACAGGCACTAAACAAGCAGAGCTATATCCCCAGACCATGTTTTTGTTTGTTTCATTTTGAGAGAGGAATTCTCGTAGCCCAGGATGGCCTCAAACTTGCTAGGTAGCAAGATTGATCTTGACCTCCTCACTCAGCTCTTATTGCCTTGAGACATCACACATACCTCTGGGTCCCACCTCCTGAGTGCTGGGGTGGTGGATATGCCCCCCCTCACTCAGCTCTTATTGCCTTGAGACATCACACATACCTCTCTCTTTCTCCCTTTTTTTTTTTTTTGTATGTGGGGGAGGGGGAGAGGTCTATGTAGTCATGGTTGTTCTAGAACTCACTCTGTAGATCAGGCTGGCCTCAAACTCAGAGATATGTTTGCCTCTGCCCCTGAATACTGGAATTAAAGGAGTGTGCCACCACCACCCAGCTATCTTTTCCATCTTTACTGGGGCTATTGTTGGTTAAAATTTATAAGATTCCTTTTCACAATATTTTTGTTGTTGTTGTTGTCAGGATGTAGGAGTGGGTGCTATGTGTGTCTGACTTTAAATTGTTTTTCTTTTCTTCCTTTTTTGAGACAGGGTCTCACTCTGAAACTAGATTATTCTAAAACTTGTTTTGTTGCCCAGACTGGCCTTAAATGTCTGCCTCAGCCTCCTAATTATTAGAATCACAGGTGTGAGTGTTGCCTCCCCCACCTGTGAAACTAAGTATCTTATTAATGTCTCAAATCACAATACTCACCCTCCTGTCTTCTATGTAATTTCCCCTTCTATGTACACAAATCCTCCTGGAGGCATCCAGAAGCCTGGGTAGATAGAACCTGGGTTCTAGCTGGGTATGGTGGTGTCTGTATTTAATCCTAGCACTCAGGATGCTGAGGCAGGAGGATCTCTAACTTTGAGGCTAACTTGGTCTACAGACTGAGTTCAAGGACAGCTAGGGCTACACAGATAAACCCTGTTTCAAAACAGCTAACAAATAGCCTAGATTCTGTTCTTAGCACTCATGTGGCAACTCACAACTGTGTGTAACTGCAGTTACATCTGACCTCAGCACTCATGTGTGTAACTTCGGTTACATCTGACCCCCTTCTGGCTCCTGTGGGCTCTGCATACATGTGATGCACAAGCCTATACACCGGCAAAATACACATACACTTAAAATAAAGGTAAATAAATACTTTTATTATCGAGCAGGGGGTGATGACATGCACCTTTAATCCCAGCACTCAGAATGCAGAGGCAGGCGGATCTCAGTCTGAGGCAGCCTGATGTACACTGTGAGTTCCAGGACAGCCAGGGCTATACAGGGAAACCATGTCTTGAACTTCCCCCACCAAAAAAAGATCAATCATATTATCTGCAGACTTATTCCCACCTTTCCCATCCTGACACACAACTTCTTTTCCTGCCATTTTAACTTTCTACTTTATATTTTGAGATAGGGTTGTCCCATATGGCCCTGGCTGGCTTCAAACTCACAAAGATCTGCCTCCCAAGGGCTGGAATTAAAGGTAATTCACAACATCTGGCCCATTTTAAAACAATTTTGAGACAGGGTTTTGCTATGTAGTCCTGAATGGACTAGAACTCACTAGTTAGACCATGTAAATGACCCTTGAACTTGTAGCAATTCCTCTGCCTCAGCCTCGCAAGTGCTAGGATTATAGGTATATCACTGAACCTCATGCTTCTGGTCTCAGAGGGGCTTGTGGGTACGAACGAAGAAAGGGGATCCCTGGACTCACACACCCGCATGCTTTGGGTTACTGCCTTGTTCAGAGCATCTGACCTGAGAACTAGGGGACTTTATGTATAGTTATGTGTAGATTTATGACCTGTAATCCTGTTGCCTGAGAGACAGACAGGATTCCCAGCTAGCTAGACTAGCTGGAATCGGTGAACTTTAATTTATCAGGGGACTCTGCCTCAATATAAAAAAAAAAGCAGAGAGCAATTGAGGATGATACCTGGTGTCAATTTCAGACCTCTACACACATGTGCGCATGCATCCATAC